TTTCAGCCGAGCCCCTCATCCCCAGCCTCTCCTCACAGCCTGCACCCCCACCCAGGGCCCCTGCACCCTAGCACTCAGCCCTCTGCCCCAGGCCTGAGCCCCCCACACGCCGAACCCCTCAGCTTCACTCTTGCCACACAAATTTTGTTAAGCACACCGACATGGAGGTGCAGGGCGACACATCGCCTACACACCTAGCACTCAGCCCTCTGCCCCAGGCCTGAGCCCCCCACACGCCGAACCCCTCAGCTTCACTCTTGCCACACAAATTTTGTTAAGCACACCGACATGGAGGTGCAGGGCGACACATCGCCTACACACCGGTGCACGTAACAAAATTCATTCCCCACGGGGCGGGGCGAATTAGGGGCCCACAGAGGGCAAGACCCATCATGCTGGGCACGGGGCAGGGATCTCTGCCCTCGCTCCGCCTGAGAAACCAAGTGCCCGGTTCTTTCAGAGGGCGTTGGGGATGGGCCCTGTGCCGCGGCCCCTGCCGAGAGCCTCTCCGCCGTACCCATGTCTCCCGCACGCTCCTCCAGGAAAGCCGACAGCTCAGGCAGGCTCAGGGACTTGAAGGAATCCGGCCCTCCTGCTAGACCTGGGGGGGCAAGCCAGAGAGATTCTTACCAACCAGGGCCCCCCCCCGGCCACAGCACCTCGATTTGCCGCGCTCTTGTATGGAGCGAGTCACCGCAGCGCAGACGTGGGACGAGCAGCAAGCTCCCTGGGCTGCTAACTCTGCCACGAGGGGCCGCGCGTGCCTGGCACAAGGGCTCTTCAAGCCCAAGGCGTTAAGCTCCATGGCCCGGCGCCCGAGACGCTCGGCGGGTCGGGTGAGAGGCGACTCCAGGACACCGAGCGGGACAGGAACGACCAGGGTCCGGGGAAGGTGAGAAATGGACCTTGTGTGTGTGCGCGAGCGCCCCAGCTCTCCGGGCAGCGGCGGCTTGCCTGTGACAGGCCTGCGGCGGGCTGCCTGCTCCATACAGGTCAATGTAACCCCCAGCTCTCCGGGCAGCGGCGGCTTGCCTGTGACAGGCCTGCGGCGGGCTGCCTGCTCCATACAGGTCAATGTAACCCCCAGCTCTCCGGGCAGCGGCGGCTTGCCTGTGACAGGCCTGCGGCGGGCTGCCTGCTCCATACAGGTCAATGTAACCCCCAGCTCTCCGGGCAGCGGCGGCTTGCCTGTGACAGGCCTGCGGCGGGCTGCCTGCTCCATACAGGTCAATGTAACCCCCAGCTCTCCGGGCAGCGGCGGCTTGCCTGTGACAGGCCTGCGGCGGGCTGCCTGCTCCATACAGGTCAATGTAACCCCCAGCTCTCCGGGCAGCGGCGGCTTGCATGGCTGGGGCAACCAGTGTCAAAAGTCCCTAAGGGAGTTAGGAGCCTAAATGCCATTTTCAAAGGTAACTTAGGTGTGTTGGTGCCTGAGTCCCACAAAGGCCTTGGGCCCTGGGTCTCTTGCTCGTTTAGTGACAGTTTTCGAGGCTCTGCCGAGCAGCTCTGCCATTTCTGATGCCTCGCTAGTTTCCCCTCTGCCTCTTATTAAAACAGGCTTTTCCCCGGGTGCTCTCATTCACTCCTTGTCTAAATGCCATTTTCAAAGGTAACTTAGGTGTGTTGGTGCCTGAGTCCCACAAAGGCCTTGGGCCCTGGGTCTCTTGCTCGTTTAGTGACAGTTTTCGAGGCTCTGCCGAGCAGCTCTGCCATTTCTGATGCCTCGCTAGTTTCCCCTCTGCCTCTTATTAAAACAGGCTTTTCCCCGGGTGCTCTCATTCACTCCTTGTCTCCCCGCCCACCCCCCCGCCCGCCACGGGCCCGTGGGCCAGCCGGGAGGAGAGCTCTGCCTGACAGGCTCTGCCAACGAGACCAAACCCCCATTAGTCAGGCAGCAGTGACAGCTGAGCTCCTCCTTCCCACCCCCCCGCCCGCCACGGGCCCGTGGGCCAGCCGGGAGGAGAGCTCTGCCTGACAGGCTCTGCCAACGAGACCAAACCCCCATTAGTCAGGCAGCAGTGACAGCTGAGCTCCTCCTTCACCCTGCAACGCCTGCCTGGGCTGCCGAGGGAACCCCCGGCTCAGGGCTCCGGCAGCAGCTGGCCGTGGGGCGCCCGAGCAGCCTGCCCTGGAGACAGCAGCCGCGGAAGTCACGGAGCTTGTGGAAAGTCGAGGAATCCGTGAGTGCCGCAGCCTCAGGAGAGGATCGCAGCCGTGGGTGCGAATTAGGGTGCAAAGGACTAGTCAGATAGTCAACAGGATAGTCGACTAGTTGCTCCTTCCCCGCCCCCCCCACTGCATCTATCAGACAGAGGTAGCATGGGGGATTTGGGGGGGGGGTACTCAAACCCCAGTGGCATTTCAAAGGGGCAGCGCCGCACTGAGCCCGGGATCAACTGGGGAGTCCCCAGCTGATTCCAGGCTCCCCCCAGAATGTAGAAGCAGCAGCGCCGCACAGAGCTGACCCCACCTCCGTGCCACGAGTCCCTGAGCAGAAGCGCCCGCATGGAGCGGAGTCAGCGGGACTCCCCACTGGCCCCGGGCGCTCCAGCTTTGAAGTGCACAGGAGCCCGCGCTGGGGCTCTCGCACATTTCAAAGACGGAATGCGGAAGGGCCTAGCGACTAGTCGTGGAGTAGATGGAAATTCCGACTACCGCTAGTTAACATCCCTAGTGCGAATTTCAGCCTGACCACAGCTGCCGAGCAGCATCGCCCTGATGCACAAGTGCTCTGGCCAGGGAGAATCACTACAGGGTTACTGGTGAGAGGACTCCTAGGTTTTCTTCCCAGCTCTGCCACTGATTCTCTAAATAGCCATGGGCAAATCACTTAGCATTTGGCTCTGGTTGGGGATGAGCATTCACAACTGCGGCTCTGGAAACTCAGGCTCCTTTGGGAAGCAGGCTTCTCTCCAGAACATGCTCCTTGGGGGAGAATTAGAACCGGGCCAGATGCTGCAGGGAGCTGCCTACAGTCACACCAGAAGGGCACCACCGCCATTCCCCGGACACCGTGGGGTCTGCCGGGGCGGCCTGTTCTCGGCTTCCGCCGGAGTCACTTACTGCATCTGCTCTAGCAGGACCCCCGCACCGCCAGTGACGGCCTGGGCCTCCTGCAGCTGGATCTGGATCTTGGTCCAAGCCACGTCCTGCTCCATCAAGCAGCTCTCGACCACGGCCCGCAGCTCCTGCTCCTGGGACACCTGGCTCTTCAGCACTTCCACCTCCTCGCACCTCTGAGCGGGGAGAGCGAGAGGCGGGTCTGAGAGGGGCGTGCTGGCAGCTCGGACCCGACTGCTCACACGCGGCCACCTGTTCAAACGGTCCGGGTGGCTCCGAACGCACCAACCAAACCCATCAGCGGCCCCGATGCAGGCGGGGGGGGAAAGGCTCCCACACAGGCCAGCTCTGATCCCAGGCACTCCCTTGCTCTCCACGCAGGAGGGGGTTTGCCCTGCGGACAGAGAACTATTCCGCACGAGTTCCCCATGTTCTGTGTGAGCAGCAGGACGGCAGATCTCCCCAGCCCAGCCTCCCCGCCAGCGGGGTTGGACTCCAGCCACCCACGTCTCAGCAGCACGGAGAGACCAAGGGCTAGAGGGCAGCAGAACCAGCAACGTGCTCCTCTGCATCCCTTGCCAACTCCCTCAGCTCCCCCACCCCAGGAGGGGCCAAGGAAACGGGGGACTGGGCCTAGAGCCGGCTCCTTACCTTGTGGAGCTGAATGGCCAGTTCCTGCATTTCCGCCTCGAGCCGATCGGCGTAGGCCAGCTCCAGGGCGTCGCTGGGAGGCCTGGCGTTGCTGTGCCATCGAGCTATGGCCGAGGTCATCTTGCGCTTCGGCCCAAAGAGGCTGGAGAGACAGCAGCCGGTGGTTACCGCACGGCTGCACTGGGGGCCGGAGTGGGCGGGGCTGGAGGACCAGCGCGCTCAGACCAGGCGCAAGGTGCTCTGGACGATCTGGGAGGGGCGGACGGCCCACCAGCGGGCAGCACGGGGGCGGGGAGTGGCCCCTTCGCAGGCACCCACGGGAAAGGGGCTACGCCGGAGACTCACGTGATGCCGATTTCCTTCAGGTCGCTCTCTGTGAGGGTGAGGAAGATGCGGAGGTCGATGTCCTGCTCCTCAAACACCGGGAGGTACTTCAGACACCCGATCTGCGCCAGGAAGGCTGCCAGGTCCTGTGGCCAGCCAGAGCAAAGGCCTTGGTACCCACACGCCGCACCGAGCCTTGAGGGACAGGCTAACGGCCACCGCCCATCACGGACCCCCGCTTCTCCCATTCCTGCCCTGGGCCACACGCCACAGCAGGGCCTGGCTCTTCCTTCGCCTTCCCAGCCCATCACTGCCAGCGGGTCAGGCAGGATCAAACCCTCGGGACGCTGCGCTCCTAGGGTGGGGCCGGTCGTGTTGTGTGTCTGCACAGCGCCTGGCCTGGCGGGGTCCTGCCGAGGGAGAGTGGGAGGAGCCTGGCTGGATGCGCAGGGGGCTGCGGGGGTTTTCAGCGGGCGAGCGTGAGCAGGTCGGCAGCTAAGCCCACGCGGGCGGGGGGGACATTGCTTCCTCCTCTGGGCTGTGGTCCAGGGCCGGACTCTGCTCTGGGGAGCTCCCAGGGCCTCAGCCCATCACAGCTTCCGTCCTTGGCGCTCTTACCTGGGGTCCCACGTAGGGGGTGGCCTCTAGGGGGGGGAGCGCGCTGGGCTGACTAGACACCCCCGCTTTGCCAGGGCTGGGGGCCCACGGGCCCCCCCCGCCGTGCCGGGCCTTGAGCTTCCCGTAGCTTTTCGCCGGTTTCCGGCTGGAGCACTTCTGGGTCGGGTCAGAGTCCTGGGGAGACGGGAGAGCGCTGTTCAACGGCACAGGGCTGCACGGGTGTGGAACGGGGGGAAGCCCATTGCAAGGCCTGGCTGGGCAGGGAAGCCTCTGCGTGGCCCGGGGACGTGGGGGGCGGAGACTGAGCAACGTAAGCTCCTCGGGGCAGAGCCAGTCTCTGTCCTGTGTTTGGACACAACTAGCCCAGCGGGGCCCAGGTCACTACCCCGGCTCCTCAGGGCTACCCCACGCCAACGGCTGAGCTCACGGCGGGGAGGAAAGCCCGCGGAGCCGGGGCCTGCAGCGACCAGGCACGCTCCGGCACAGCCACGGCGACGCGCGGGCGGAGTCTCACTGAGAAAGCAGCCCCTGCGTTCTAAGAGCAGGGGGCTGAGCGGCACAGGGTCAGAAGCTGGGGCTGGGGGGAGGAGGGGCAGCACCGCTTCCTCATCGGAGAGAGCCCCACGGCCAGGCTGAGACCAGGCAGCGTTCTCTGCAGGGAGCTCCAGAACCTGCACTGAGAGTGCGAGGCCGCGCTTTGGGGCTAGCCCGGGGCACGGGGGTGCGTTCGCTCAAGCCCAGAGACTAGCAGACGGACGGGCGGGGTTATTCCTGTGAGAGGAGCCCAGGGATCTCATGCCCACCCAGCACACAGCTACACCAAAACCGGACCCCGGCCTACTCAGCGGGGCGCGTAACCAACGCATTCGAAGGCCGCACTCCCCCTTCCTCCACCCTGTGGCGCCATCCTGCTCCCACAAATCCACGGCACCGGATCCAGTCATCTGGGCAAAGTCCTTCGCCAGCTACCAATTGGCGGCCGTGGGAGGGTTCCCTTCTAGAGCCAGGGCGAGGGCTGGGCCGCGCAAGAGCTCTGGGAGCGGGGCGAGAACGGTGAACGTTAGTGCCCCCGAGGACGGGAACAGGCGTCCCCAGCTACAGCCCAGCGCAGGAAGGGCGTCAGGCCAGGCCACCGGCCCCTCGGGAGGCTGCAGAGTGCAAGGCAGCTGTTCATACTGCCCTGGGCTAGCCAACCCTACCCAGGGCTAACCTTACAACCACAATTTCCCACTTGCATTCTCTGCCCTGCCCGTCGGCCGTAAGTGGCTCCAAGAAAGCGCCGAAAGCAGCCACGTGCTCTGGTGGCGAGGGCAGCCAACGGGAACAGCCACAGGATACCCGGCCAGGGGCAAGTGCTGGGATGGGAGTTACTGGGCCGCCCCTTGGGAACTCAGTCAGCAGGGAGGGTGCTCAGAGAGCCAGATCAACGTCAAACAGGACAACCTGCCACCCCCCCAAGGGCAAATGAGCCGACTCGGTGTCTCCCTGCCTATCCAGACCACTGGGCCCCTCTCTGGAGTCTCACGAGCCACCTCGCTCAACTTCCTCCCACAATCAGAGGTAAAAATACACGTCACGGCACGCTGCTACTGAGAGCCGTCCGCTTTCTCATTGCTACCATGCGATTACAGACCAGCTGGGCTAGAACGCTGAACCTCGCGCGCGTCCCAACAAGGCACGGTCCGTAGGACGTTTGTTCCTACTGACTGCACTGCCGGAGCCTGCTGTGCACCCAGGCAAGCACCTCGAGGGGCTGCATGCCCTGAGTGAGGCCCACTGCCCCACCCACTGAAAGGGGCGTTACTGTTGCCTTCTCCCCACGACCCTCCAGGCTCTCGGCAGAGGGAACGCCACGGCACGCAGCCGGAGTATCTGCGAGTTCCCGTGCTCCACCAGCCCTGGTGACGGAGACAAAGCCTCACCTCGTTGCTTTCCAGGGAGCCCTCGCTGCTGACCCCCAGGGCTTTGGGCAGACACTCACTGCTGCTGCTGCTGCTCCTGATGGTGGCCAAGTTGTTGGTGAAGAACGCGGTCTCTTCTGGAGGGGGCCAGAAAGGCAAACAGTGAGCCCCTGGTTCTCCCCGACGCCCAGCCCGCATCTGCACGCAGCAGCTGCTCAGACGAGCAGGTTGCCCAAGGAATGAGTGAAGAGTCTCGGGTCTGGCGTCCATCCCCCACCAAGGCCAGGGGGAATACACCACTGCAGATCCAGAGCCATTTACCACCCTACCTGCAGGGATGGGTAACACGGGTATGTTTTAGGGTGTGGGGTTACTGGCGAAGGCCATGCTCTCGTCCCCAGGTGTCTCCCAACGGCCGTGGGGGTGGACGGCACTCATTCTCCCCCACTCTCCTCCTTGGCTCATGGCCCGTCACTCTTCTCTGGCATGGCAGGACAGCACTGATGCCACTCCAACACAGACTGCCTGTGCCCTGGCAGGGAGCCCCCTTTCTTGCCAGCATCTCAGGCAAGATGCCTCCCTAAGAGCACTTCAGACCTCGGGGGAGAGGAAAGAGGCCACGTGCAGGCTCCGAGGTGGTTCTCAACCCCAGGCCACGCACAGTGCAAGCAAAACCCTCCTCAGAGACCAGCCCCTACCCCGGCCGCTGCTGCTCTCCACGTCTTGCTCGTTGATTGGCGAGGTGACGTCCCGGAACCGGAGATCCTCCCCTTCAAAGCTGCCATCGTCGCTGAACGTCACATAGCCCCAGGGAGGGACCGGCTCTGTGTGCAAAGGGAGGAGAGGGCGAGTTACCAGGCAGGCTGCAGCCTGGGGAGCAGCAGTTGCCAGTAAGCATCCGGGGCTCGGAAAGCAATTGGGGAAGAAATCACATTTTAAAAGAACCAGCTTGTGGCCCCTTTTGGACGGCGAACAACATTGCCAGGAACATGGACGCCTAACAGCTCCCTTTGCGCGCCAGGTCAATGCTGGTCACAGATCCGGCTGTAGACAACGACTGGATCAAAGACTGTTGCATGGAACCAGACTTTCAGCAGATGCCCCTCTGGAGTACTGAGCTGGGAGTGTTCCCTCCCTTCCCGGAGTTTCTGGGTCAGCCCCCCGGGACGCTCTGCAGCTGGTGGCTTGAGCGTTTCCACGTAGTCACCCCCGGTAGCTGTGTCAATGGGAAGTACGACACTAGTGTATTTCCTCACTAGCCTGGACAGTAAAATAGTCGTTCAAGCTCACGGCAATGAGCGGGTCGTATTGTTTCCTTCCATACAAATCGATATTCTTGGCCATCAAAGACAAGCGGGTAGCTGGCTAGAGCCATGGACCATCTCTGTGCTGTACCACGCAGCCGCACCGGGCACAGCTCGTCTCAGCTTCACGGAAGGGCTAACGTTTAAACCCAGCCAGCGTTTCCCGGGACCCCGTGGCTGGCTGCGCCAGTTCCTGGAGCAGGACGCACGCCTGGCACTCCGGAGGATGCAGCTCACCCGGGCCCAAAGTGGAACAGGACGCACGCCTGGCACTCCGGAGGATGCAGCTCACCCGGGCCCAAAGTTGGGCGATTCGTTAAAGCATCCCTGCTCTTTAGCCTGTTGTGAATCACCCCCACCCCACCCCTGCTGGTGGCTCCGGCTCCTGAGTCTGCCTGGGGAAGGGAAGAAGGGCCACTCTCAAGAGCCAGACAGCAAGCAGAGACTGAGAGGATGCGGAAGGACAGTTATCCCCTTCTCGGCTGAGCTGGGGACGGTTTTGAGAGCTGGCCTTCAGCCCCTTGAATCACCGGTGTTTGCTCAGTGCTGGCAGCCGTCGGAGCCATGCAGGAAGGCCCAATCTAAAGGAGCAGGGAAGTGCTGGTGCCGGAGTAACAGCAAAGCAGCACTGTCGTTCCCTGCTCCAGTGGGAATTCTGCACCACTGCGCAATGCAGAATTGGGCAGAATTAACTATGTGCTTGCAGAATTTCCTCCCCCGCCACGGGCTGCAGTACTGCTGGCTGGACCCAGCAGAGCCCAGCTGGCGCACAGAAGAGACTGCCAGCGGGAGGGGGCCGGAGCAGGGGCGGCCCGTGAGGGTAGGCAAATTAGGCAGCTGCCTAGGGCGCTGCTGGCCGGGGCGCCCGATGATGACATCACGGCTACTGCCGGCCGTGCAGGCGGGGGCGCCAATCGTGCCTTCTGCCTGGGGCGCCAGCTGCCGCAGCCGGCCTCAGGCCACTCCTGGCTAGAGGGGTTCCCAGCACGCCCCGAGGGCAGCAGGGATTTGGGCGCACAATGGCCCCAGGAGCAGACTGTGTAGGAACCTCTCGACTAGGATTCCCTGACCCAGGCTCACCACAGTGAGATGGCTTCTTCCCTGCAATTCCGACGGCTGTTATCTTCGCCAGCGCCTGGGGCCCTTCGTGGATACTGGGGCCCTTGGTCTTTCGGGCAGGTCTCTGTCTCTGGGGGGCGGAGCACGACTCATCCGAGGAGCTCAGATCTTCGTATTTTCCTGTGGTCCAAACACAGACCGTTAGCTGCATAGTAACTCCAGCGCCTGCCCTTGCCTGGCCCCCTCACACCAGCAAGGGCTCCCAGCCCGGAACCACAGCTGCTCAAAGGAGAGGGCTTTTGAGCAGACGACCCAAGCACCACTTCCACTCAACCACCGCACCGTAACACAGCAGCAGCCTCTTCCCCAAGCACCTTCCCTGCAAGGAGGCGTCTCACTTACCCGGGCCCCTGCAGAAGACCTTGGGCACTGGAGCTGCATGGAGGTCTATCAGCCCCACAATCTTCATGTGGCCATATGTCATGGCCAGCGTCCGTGCCGTGGCTCCAGTGTTCTCTCTGACATCCACCCTCACGCCCTGTGGGACGGCAGTGCATGCTGCTGGCGTGGCTGTTCTGAGCGGACACCACGCACAGCATTCAAGGGAACCAACGGAGTTGCATATTCCACTGGGACCCCCTCGTCTGCCCTTTTAAGCCACCAGGAAACGAACGCTTCCCCGCGACGCCCCTCTGTGCTGTCAGCCCAGGATTTCACTTTTCTGCACCATCCACCAGAATCTTGCTCGATTTGCTGCCAATTATTTTTCAGTGCTTCATCCTTCAGAATAAAGTCGCTATCCGGGGTTCACTGCAGTCAGAACCCAAGACGATCGGATAGTCAGACGTTAGCATGAAGGTGGAAGATGCCACGAGAAACTCAACACACCTGTAAGCACTCGCTAGTTCAATATCTGGCCCGCCACCAGGAGATCCGAACACCATGCTCTGTCCGGGCCACAAAGGCTAAACCACTAGCAAAACCACTCTGTTTTTAGAGAGCTCCTCTTCACTGCTGGTTGGTGTGGGAGCAGCAGGAAGGCTAAATCGTAGAAACGTGCGGTACACTCCGGTCTCAATGCAGTGAGATTGGGGGCTGCTCTCGTTAGCCAGCACTGAACACTAATTAGCCCCGTTAAGAATGGCCCATGTTCCATCCCAGCCTCATCCTTGGATGGAAACTCCGTGGAGGAGGGAAGATTGTTATTACCCTGGGTCAGTTCTAGGGCAGGGCATGAGGAAGGACACAGAGGCCTTGAAATTGACCTGACAGTCTCCGGGGGACCAGCATATCAGCACAGTGCTAGGACACGGCGGCACTTTGGAAGAACGGAAGCTCCTGACAAAGTTGACGTGCTTCTCCTTAGGCACAGCAAGGTACAGTATGAGCGTACATAGCGTCAGTCAGAATCCCCTGGGCCAGGACTCCAACATCAGGCAAAAAAGACTTTATCTAAAAAGCTACAGCTAGTTAAGTCTCAGAGGGGGAGCTGTGTTAGTCTGTTCCAGCAAAACCGAGGAGTCCTGGGGCATCTTAAAGACTAACCGATTTATTTGGGCATCAGCTCTTGTGGGCTAGAGCCCACTCATCAGACGCGTGAAGTGAAAGGTACAGTTTGGCAGGGATATAGACACTTGCGAAGGTGGGGAGTGTGACATTATCACACAGAGGACCAGGGCTAACGAGGCAAATTCAATCAGGGTGAATATGGCCCTGTCCCAACCGTGGGAGGTAAGAAAACCAGAAGGAGGGGAATTACTTTTAGCAGCAAGCTAGCCTCTCCCAGTCATTTCATAGAGCCCTGAAAATCCACGGCTACCCACTTCTACAGCCGCAGCGGTCTCTGTGTCTGCGGATATCTGCTGCTCGTTGCTGATACAAGCGCAGATACACATTCTGTACCCATGCAGGGCTCCATGTATTCAGAGCCATTCGGAGCGCATCAAGTCCGCATGTGAATTCCAGCTCTGCACATTCCAGCTCGAGTCTCTTTTTGGAGCTTTTTCCCCCGTAAGTACGGCAACAGCACGAAGCTGCATCTGTGGCTACACCCCTGCCTCTGAC